GTGGGTGGTAAGTGAGCAACAGGGAGATCCTATCACTGTTGTGAGAGGGAAGAGAAGGGGTAAGGGCAAAAATACAAAAGATGGGTCAGCCATGCTGGGAGTCCTATCAACCATGGTTCTGGGGAAACCTTGGTTGAGGAAGAAGATGGATATTTTGGATGTCCCCCATGTAGAAGCTGGAACAGGTGCAACAGAGATGGAGAAATTGGGAGAATGGTATGGAGTCTTTACAGGAAGCAGGGTGTGAAGATATGTAATCCAGGTTATGGGGAGGGTCAGTGGGTTAATAGCCTATCCCCAGAATAGAAACAGAGATGTCAAGGAAGGGGTGACAAGAGTCAGAGATGGACAAGGTGAAGCTAAGAGCATGGTGGAAATTGGAAGCAAAATTGATATTTTTTTCCAATTCCAGATAAGAGAGGGAAACAGTACTGACAATGTCATCGATATAATGGAGAAAGAGTTGTGGGGTGGGACCCAGATAGGACTGAAACAAGGAATGTTCCCCATATCACACAAGGGACAGGCATAACTGGGGCCTATGCATTTACCCATGGCCACCTCTTTGACCTGAAGAAACTGATTGGAGTTAAAGGAAAAGTTGCTAAAACTGAGGACAGTCTCGGTCATGTGGAGGAAAAGATGGAGATGGTTCAGGCCTTTTTTTTTCCCAGGAAGAATCAGTGAGCCCTGAATCCACCCTCATGGTGGATGGGTGTGTTAAGGGATTGCACATACATGGTGAAGAGGATGCAGCTGGAACCTACTGGAAAGGGTGCAAATAATGTTTACAAAATGTTACTGAGACTGGAGGGTTTGATTTATAAGGAAGAGAGGCTGGATAGCTTGGGAGTTTGTTCCCTGGAGCATAAGAGGCTGAGGGGTGATTTTGTAGAAGTTTATAAAATCATAAGGGGCATAGATAAGGTGACGAGAGAAGGTCTTTTCCCCAGGGCAGGGGAGTCCAAAACTAGAGGTTTAAGGTGAGAGGTGAACGATTTAAAAGGGGCCTGAGGGACAATTTTTTGACACATGAGGCTGGTACATGTATGAAACAATCTGCCAGAGGAGCTGGTAGAGGCAAGTACAATTATAACATCTAAAAGATATTTGGACAGGTAAGTGGATAGGAAAGAGGGATATGGGCCAAATGCAGGCAAATAGGACTAGCTCAGTTCAGAAGAACTTGTCAGCAAGGACAAGTTGGGTCTGTTTCCATGCTGTATGTCTTTTAAATTTATTCATTTTGTGGGATGTGGGTGTGACTGTTTCGCCAGCATTTATTGCCCATCCCTAATTGTCTTGAGAAGGTGGTTGTGAGCTGCCTGAGAATACAAGGACCAGTAGCAGGAGTAGGCCATCTGGCCTTTCATGCCTTCTTGAACCATTGCAGTCCTCCTGCTGTAGGTTGACCCACAATGCCATCAGGGAGAGAATTTCAGGATTTTGACCCAGCGACAGTGAAGGAATGGCGATATATTTCCAAATCGGGATGGTGAGTGGCTTGGAGGGGAACTTGGAGGTGGTGGTATTTCCATATATCTGCTGCCCTGTCCTTCTAGATGGAAGGGGTCATGGGTTTGGAAGGTGCTGTCTGAGGATCTTTGGTGAATTTCTGCAGTGCATCTTATAGACAGTGCACACTGGTGCTACTGGTCTCAGTGGTGGAGGGAGTGAATGCTTGTGGATGTAGTGCAAATCAAGTCGGCTGCTTTGTCCTGGATGGTGTCAAGCTTCTTGAGTGTTGTTGGGGCTGCACTCATCCAGGCAAGTGGGGAGTATTCCATCACACTCCTGACTTGTGCCTTGTAGATGGTGGACAGGCTTTGGGGAGTCAGGAGGTGAGTTAATCGCCGCAGTATTCCTAGCTTCTGGCCTGCTCTTGTAGCCACTGTGTTTATGTGGTGATTCCAGTTGAGTTTCTGATCAATGATAACTCCCAGGACGTTGGGAGTGGGGCATTCAGTGATGGTAACACTTTTGAATGTCAAGGAGCTGTGGTTAGATTGTCTCTTGTTGATGATGGTCATAGCCTGGCATTTGTGTGCCGCTAATGTTACTTGCCACTTGTCAGCCCAAGCCTGGGTATTGTCCAGATCTTGTTGCATTTGGAAATGGACTGCTTCAGCATCTGAGGAGTTGTGCAATCATCGTGAACATCCCACTTCTGACCTTATCATGGAGAGAAGGTCAATGACGAAGCAGCTGAAGATGGTTGGGCCTAGGACACTCCCTGATGAACTCCTGCAGAGATGTCCTGGAGCTGAGATGATTGACCTCCAACAACCACAACCATCTTCCTATGTGTCAGGTACGACTCCAACCACCGGACAGTTTGCCCCCCTGATACCCATTGATTCCAGTTTTGCTAGGGGTCGGTAGTGCCACACTTGGTCAAATGCGGCCTTGATGTTAAGGGCTGTCACTCTCACCTCGCCTCACCTCTGAGATTCAGCTCTTTTGTCCATTTTTGTACCAAGGCTGTAATGAGATCAGGAGCTGAGTGGCCCTGGCAGAACCTAAACTGTGTGTTACTGAGCAGGTTATTGCTGAGCAGGTGCTGCTTGATAGCACTGTTGATGACACCTTCCATCACTTTATTGAAGATCGACAGTAGACTGATGTTGCCATAATTGGCCGGGTTGGATTTGTCCTGCTTTTTAAGTACAGGACATACTTGGGCGATTTTCCACATTGTCAGGTAGATACCATTGTTATAACTGTACTGGAAGAGCTTGGCCAGGGGAGTGGTAAGTTCCGGAGCACAAGTCTTCAGTACTATTGCTGGAATGTTGTCAGGGCCCGTAGCCTTTGCAGTATCCAGTGTCTCCAACCGTTTCTTGATATCTCGTGGAGTGAATCGAATTGGCTGAAGACTGGTATCTGTAATGCTGGTGACCACTGGAGGAGGCTGAGATGGATCATCCACTCGGCACTTCTGGCTGAAGATTGATGGAAAGCTTCAGCCTTATCTTTTGCACTGATGTGCTGGGCTCTTCCATCATTGAGGATGGGGATATTTGTGGAGCCTCCTCCTCCAGAGAGTTGTTTAATCATCCACCACCATTCATGACTGGATGTGGCAGGACTGCAGAGCTTAGATCTAATCCATTGGTTTTTGGATCACTTAGCTCTGTCTATCACTTGCTGCTTATGTTGTTTGCCATGTAAGCAGTCCTATTTGGTGGCTTCACCAGGTTGGCAACTCTGTGGCTCTAACTGGAAATTCTGAATCCACAGAATCCAATTCTACCAATTGTTTTACACTTAATAAAACAAAAATTATTAACCTTTTCATCTCATTTTAAGTATGTGATACTTCTATTATCCCTTATATATTTATCTTCAAATTAAATGCCGTTGGTCTTACTTAAAATTGCAAAACATAAAGAAGTAATAAAATGCTTTAAAGTGTTTGAAAGCCCGAAGCTTAAATGACCTTTCCATCTAAAGTACAGATCAAGCCAAGTGTTACTATTATTGAGTTACTGACTGATACACTTTTAACAAATTATAAAACACACACAAATATGTCCATACACAACATGATAGTGATATAATATCTACTGGTGCCTTCATGTGGTCTTGTTACCTCAGTTTGCCTATTTATTTTTTGGATGTCCTGAATTAGGCCCATGTTAATATTCGGGGATTTTTAATCCTCTAGACAATATAAGGGCAGTGAGCTCTTTAATGTTAATTATCATTGAAACATGTTGTCCAAGTTTCTTTACATTACATAAAGTTAAGAAATTGATGATTAGTATGCATGTTATCTACATCTGAACTGCAAAATTATTTTTAAAACACATACAAAATCACTGGAAAACTGAATGGAGAAATGAGACAACAAAGTTGCCTTTTTAGCATTTTGGTAAAGCAACCGAAAATTGGTACAACATTGATAATCCACTTGATTCCAATCAGATTTGTCAGCTGTGCTTACTTGTTTTAATTTGTTTAATTTACACAAGTGGGATAGACACAGAGACAATTTTCCTTCTTTCCTTATGAAATGCCTGCATTAAAATGAAAAGGTCATATCTTTCCTCTTCTTCACTATTTTTCACCAGCTATGAGGTGACCACTACTGACGTGTGGCTCAAGACTCTTCTTCCTCATTTACAGAGCACAGTGTCTCTGGGCAGATCTGTGATTATGCCCGACATGTTTTTTTTAAATCTCCCTAACTCTCCTGTGCCATTTCCAAAGAACAAAAATCTGCACTTTCATGCCAGGTAAAGATGTGAAATTCAAAGAAGTGAAAATAGGTGCCAGGAACCCAAAGTTCAGGTCAATATCTTTGAAGTCACTCAGCCACTTTTTCACAACTTGCATGTCTCTTGATTATTTAACTCACTTAGATCCTCTCAAAGCAACATATGCCTATTACCAATCTGGTCTTGGAGACTGAGATGCGCTCTGTCTTAATGACAAACTCCTGTTCTGGCCAAGCTTGTTTCCAAGTCTATTCTTAGCAAAAAAAAACAGTCACTGCTTTGCTCAGCCAATTCCCCACAGCCCATATGGGTAATTAATTTTATTGGATTCAATTAAGCTGTTAGTGAAGTGACCCTCACACAAGACATAAAAGTGATAGAAGGCTGTTGTGTGCTAGATTGCCTTTTGGCAATATACTCTTCTACCAAAGTACTATTTATTTTCTTTTGGCTGAATAGTCAAATGAATAGAAATAAGATGCAATGGAATTAAAAGGGTGGACTCAAAAAGTAAGCACAAATAAATAGAGGTGAACAGCTATCTGATTATGGTGCATTCAAAGCATATTGTATTTATGAATGGCTGCACTTTTTCAGTTTGGCTTTGGAAGGATCAAATATAAGTAATTACACTAAAATCTGGAAGCTAGATATTGCAAGAGAAATTTAGCAGTTCAAGTTCATGTATTACATAAAGAACAAGTGAAGTACTTGCCAATAATACACTAATGATCAATGCCACACTTAATAATTCATTGCTAGTTATTTAGTACACCTCACCTGATTCTTCACATCAAGTTTAAGGCATGGGCGGCCACCATTATATGACTTCTCCCGCAGCCACTTGGATCTGATCTGAATTCCACTTCCACAGGATTTGCTACACACTGACCAGTTTGACCATTCACTTAACTTGCAGTCAGATGGACATGGCAAATTGCAAGTCTCTTCAATATACCCTAATTTGAATTATAAAAAGAAAAAAGATATAATTTAGTGCTTAATGCTGTAAGGCTAAATAGTCTACAAGCTTCGCACACATGTTTTAAAGTAACTCATCTCAGATTGTAGAGTTGAAGCATGATTTTCTCTGAGTTCCTGCTACCACAGAAATCAATATTACTTTAAAAATGTAATTTTAAGGCTAATTAATCTGTTTTGTTTGTGAATCAGATATAGTCACATCAATTGCGCCAACGCATAATTAACATTCTTCGTATTATTTTTACTGAATACTAAATCAGCTACTATATTGACCGGGAATAAAGTTAGTAGATTATAAAATTAATAAATTAGATTGAAAAAGATCAATTCAGTTTTTAATTTTAAATGAGTATTGAAATTCAATTTAGTGATGAAATAGACCTTGAAAACAATGATGATCATAAGGCTAAATCACAAGCATAGTTTGCATAAGACTGGGTTTATATATAGGAAATTAAACACAATCTAACTTCAGTGTTTAAGATGATTAAATGGATTGATGGTATAAATAGAAAGAAGTCTCTTTCCATGGGCAAGTCCAGATCAATTTCAGCTAGGCTGCTCAGGGAAATGTCAGAGTGCTTTTTGTAGAATTCTCTCTCCCATAAAATTATTGAGGCCATGGCAGCTGAAAATTTCAAAATTGAGATGGATAGATTTTTATTAGATCAGGGCATTAAGGGATATGGACACAAGGCAGGTAGATAAATAAAATATAAATCAGTCATGATCAAACTGATTGGTGAAAAAGACTCAAGGTTTTGAATGGCTACTTCTGTTTTGATTTCCCTAAACTTAGAAATATATTTCAATAATTTGCTGAATGATGTCTACAATAATACCTTGGTTTCTCTCTTTTTCTGAACTGATGAGAATTTTTCACATTTTCACATAGCAGCTGTCTAATTAGTCAGCAATGGAATGATGTGTGACAGAGAATGCTAGGATACTGACACAATGCCTATGAAGGAAATATGATGACTTCTTAGTTCAAATTGATGAGTGACTTGCAGATAAACATGGATTTGATGCTCCGTCTATGATATTTCTCTCTTAAAAAATAGCTATTTGGTCCACCATGGTTATAACAGCTCTATGCTGGAGCACCTCAAAACTAACCCACTGCCCTAATTCAATGCTATTAACATGCTTTGTGGTTTTCTGCGTGGTAGCCCATGTAACTTATATCACAGAGTTGAGTTTTTGTTGAGTGAAATGTCTTTAAGTTTATTAACGATACAAACTATTTCCATGGCTACAATATCACAGAGTTACACACACGATCTGGGTTCTGTGTTTGCTGATGATACAGTACATTACATACACAGAGCGAAAGTCAGAAGTCAAACAACATCTGGCAAAGAAGCAGCACTCTGAAAGCTTGTGATTTCAAATAAACCTGTTGGACTATAACCTGGTGTCATATGACTTATCACTTTGTCCAGCTCAGTGCAACACTGGCACCTCCACATCATAAACAGAGCTGACTGACGAAAGATACAACACTGACTCCATTGTATAAAAAAGAGTGACTGAATGTGTGATGGGTGACTTTACACCAGAACGTCACATGTTGTGATTACATGTAACTGCCTTAATGGGAGAGGCCGACCTAGTTTAGAATCTATGCCATGACACGACATGCGCCTTTCTCGTATAAAGTATGGGAATCATTTTCTCCAATAAACATGAGTTTATATTTGGATATGTTGTCAGAACATATTCAGATAACATCTTGGTAGACATTTGACATGACAAGATCTGGTCCCTTATTCTGTTATTGCAACTTGGATGTGTAACTTCATTCGGTGCTGTGCAGGTTGTCATTGCAGATGAATGTGTATCATTTGTCATAGATGTGTGGTTGTTGTCTGGTGTGATATCTTCAGTAACTACATTGTCATCTTTTGTGACAAGTGATTGATAGTATCCATTCAGAATGTCATCTTTCTCTCCACAGGACTTGACCAATGCCCGTTGGAAAATCATATCGTCTAATGACCTGGACTGGACACAATAAATAGCATATTTTCATGAACTCGTACGATTGCATGAAAATTTCAAAGGATTAAGCTTTTTGCTAGCATAAATGGGGATAAATGTCTGCATTCTTGTTGTTCATGCTCTTGCATTATTTTCTCCCTTCTTTCTAACAATGCATTATACACAGGGGTGGTGAGAGTGTGAGAGGAAGAACTGTGTAGATCGGTCTCCCAAGCAGAAGAGCTGCCACTGAGGGTAAAACATTGTCTAGAGAAGGAATATGTAAGTTTAACATAGTTATCTGAAAATATTGGCAGGTTGCTTTATATTGAGTGATCATTAACTTTACAGAATGAACAGTGCATTCTATGAGACCATTTGACTGATGGTAGAAAGGAGAAGAGATAATATGATAAATGCTCCTGCCCATGTCTTTGAAGAGTACACAAATGAACTGTCAAACATTTATAGGCACAATTGGTTGGGATGCACTGGACATTATTAATATAGCAATCAGTATGTCAATAAAAGTTGATTTAATGGAATCTCTAATTTATCTTGAACAAGGGAATTTGGTGAAACAGGCAATTATCAGAATGAAATTGTGACCTTGCACACGGAAATTGTCAGTCATAATTTTGCAGCAGTATCAAACAGAATCTCATGTGGAAGGAGAGTTGCTCTCGAGTGTTGATGTTGATAGAATTAACTTTTTTCACGCACTTGATTAGTTGCGTAATGTATTGATTAAATGTAACACCAATATCTGGAGTCAAGCATTAATCTCTTGTTTCTTTTCTTGTTGCATGGTCTAACATGTCTTATGTAGAGCTTGTGGAATTATATTTGTTTGCCTTTAAAGGTTATATCCTTAGAGAGTCCTCATTACTCTCTGAATGACCTGAAAGAATGAACTGGATAGGGAAGTTGTTCCCTATATGTTCAAAACACCCTTTGACAATGATCTTCATTGCAGTTGGTTATCATCTGATGTAGTTTGCTGAAGCTGCTCTCTGCTTGACTGTGACCAAAATGTATGAAATTGATGTCAAGACTATCATCCAGTTTGGATTAGATAATGTCCATTTATAGCTCCTAAGAATATATTGTCATAGAATTTGGAAATTAACTAAGAGCATTGGAGTTGGTCACTGGGAGCATGGTTGTATTGTACTTCTACATCATACCCTTGAATAATCACATATTGGCATTGTAGTCATGGGGGTGCAGAGGTTTTCAACAGATTATTTCCAACAATTTGCAATCAGTAGGAACAATGAAGTGCTTCCTGAACAGATGCGTGTATCTGAAAACTGAATACTAGGCTGAGTTTTGCAACGTTGGAATAGTTAGCCTGAGTCATCAAAATAACCTGAGAACCAAATGAGATAGGCTTAGAGTTCTGTAGTTGACTTGTTCTTAGGCCTTTTTGAGATGCATCTACTGCCAAAGTGTTGGACTTGGTAGGGTCATAACATCAAATACACTCTTACCGGATGATAGAATGTTGTTGACAAAAAAAAACATGCTTTTGATCTTTCTGCTATCTTACGGTGTGTTCTTGAGGAAAGGGTGTTGAAGAAGAGTGCTTTATCATAACATCATGTCATTATCTTAAAACTGCTGTGTTTCTCCAGCACTTTCTGTTTGTTTTTCTGGAAATACTTGCTATTGATACTCTGTTGCAGGAGAGTAAAAGAAGTATTTGTTTTATTTACACTCAAAGCCCTCTCCTTGATGGACGCAACAATTAAAATGTTCAGTGAAAAAAAATAAATAAATTGCAATATTTCCCAAATTATGGCCTTTAAAAACAAAATAATGCCACATCACTGTAATTTTAGTCAGACTTGTAAAAACTGTGACATACCAGAATTGCTACAAAGCCAAGGGTTCACTAACTTCTTATCTTGGTCATAGCAGGCTATGGCTCGATAATGTACACCCTGCCCACAGTCTTTGACATCTCCTTGTTCCTTCATGCCAAGTAGCAGTGTCACCATGTTTTCAGGAAGAATACAATCTGACCAATTCCCTTGTGGTTGGCTGAAATATTTGTCACATGGACAAGTCTTGGTCTCAACTAGTGGCTCCTTGAAGCACTTCTCTTTCTTCTTGCTTTTTCCTAGTTGAACAGAAAAAAAACTTTATAATCTTTACTTATTCCACAATTCCTCATTTTCCTGATGCTATATGATCATCATTTCAGAATATCCATGCAAGATATTTAAACATATCTTTTTTGTTCAGTCCTGCCATTAATTCTTATCAAAATGTATACATCAATCATCAATTCTGCAGGTGGATGGCATAACCCCAGACATATGCTGAAATTCTAAATGTAGAAATGACCTTTTATTCCCCTCTTATACCATTTTAACTATTTATTTTCCTACAATCTCAATATGCACCATTAACAGTTGAGTCACATTCAAACTCAGTTACTAATTGAAAGACTTATTACACAATATTTGGCATTTTAAAGAAAACGCTTCTACTTTACAAGAATTGAACAAAGCAAGTTATCCTGACCAAACAACATGAGCAGGATTTTCCACTCTGAGGTGGAAAGAATAATTGCATGCACAATGTGTTGATCAGGCAAGTGTCAAAAAATCTGATTCTCCTCATTGAGATAAACATTCACAAGATAGCAAGGTTATATTGACACCATCATATGGTGAGAAGCCACAATACCTAAATTTGCACCTCAATAGCTACCCAATCACTGGAATTAATTTCTCTTTCCCAATTAACTTCTGCACAATTGAGATACTCAGTGTTTCAGAAACTTGGTTGCATAAACCAAACAAGCACCTGAGGACTTTGGTCCTTTGTTACTAGTTGAGATGAATACTCAATTTTCCACCAATATCTCTGCAATGCTCCTTCTCTTCACTTTTGCTGAAACATCCACAACTGCATGTTGACTAAAGCAGGGCATGTCCCTGGACCATCACTCCACCCAACTGGACAATGTCATTGCACCACTATCAGCTTCACAGGTTGCACCTCCATGCACAGAGACAGCAGTTTAGGGGTCAGCAGCTTTTGTTTCACTGGTGGCACTTTAACTCAAAAGGAAGCACAGCGGCTGGTGCCGTGGAAAATGTAAAAGGCAGATGTACAACTTTCTGGATGGCACAGTACTATGTCAGAGATAGTGCATGTGCCCAAAGCCCATGTGACAAACATAATGCATGTGCATGAAAAGCATAGCAATGTGTGAATGGAAGAGGGAAGACATACTTAGAGGCTTGAGATATACTCCAGTGAATCAGAGGATATTGTCGCAGTCAGTCTATGAGATGGGTCATTTCTAGACCAGGGTGAATGGGGTTTGGCCATAGTCAGTCAAGCAGTTGGCCCACCGCATGTCTGGGAATCCATGCGATTATATATCAAGGATTGGAACTCTGTCAGTTCAGTAAGTCAAGTAAAAACAGTCCGGGCCTTGTTTTATTGCTCAGTCTTAGGGTTTTTTCAAATTCAGTCTGAGGGTAAGACTGCAAGTTAGTAAAGGCCTACTGTAAAGTCCGTCCATGGAATGGGCCACAGTCAGACATCAAGGTTGTGGCCTGCTTAAGACTGGGAATTGGTTTTATTCTATTTAGAGGTTAAGAGAATTGTCACAGTCACAGGAGGAAACTGTAGACAATTGAGTTGGATCTGGTTGATATGTTAGAGGACTGAAAGGTCTCAAAAGGGATGCCAAGGCAAATCATGGCATTCAGACCTTATTACAGGGAGAATGTAGGCCCAGTAAGAGCAGTCATCTCCATAGTCATGGGCTCTGGGGACAAAAATGTAACATTAATGGCTACGTAAAGTGGCTTAACCGAATTGGAAGGAATGCAAAGAGTCATAAAGGGCAGAGGAAGCTCTACATATAGGACCATTTGGTTCTCAAGCAAAATGTTGTATAACTTGAAAAAAGTAAATTGCATTTGGCACATTTATTTGAGTCTTTCTGATGACAGTAGAGGACAGATCAAAAAGAAAGGGGAACCAGCAAATGTGATATACCAGATTTCCAAAAGGCATTTGAGAAGTTAATAAAAATGGATGAAAAAAAAGTTCACAGAAAGGAAGAAGAAAGTAAGGGATAAACTAGGCATTTTCATGTTGGCGGTCTGAATGTATTGGAGTGCCACAGGATCGATATTGGACCCTTAGGTATTTACAATCTATATGATGAAGAGACTGAGATTATGTGGGAATGTAAACTGTAAGGTGGATATGAAGAGGCTGCAAAAGGATATAGAGGTTCAATGAGCAGGAAGAGCGCTGACAGGTGGAACATAATATATGGAATTGTGCAGATGTTCACCATGGTAGTAAAAATGAAAAAAACAAATGTGTTTTAAAAGGCATGAAACTTTAAAATGTGATGTTCAGAGACACTTCAATATGATCAATTAATACGCAGGTGCAGCAAACAATTAGGAAGGCAAATTACATGTTGGCCTTCATTGCAAGGTTATTTAGCAGGTACTTTCTACTTTCAACTTTATGCTACTAGTCACCAATCTTTCAATCTGATTCGCTAAGGAAATGGAGAATTTCTTGTCTTGATTATACAAGAAAAAGATCTCTCACAAATGGTGCAATGCTTTTTGGCTGTCTGACTGACAGCAATATGTCATGTAAAAGCCCATGGAAAATTTATGGGCAAATGCACGTCATTGCTCAGACATTGATCAAGCCCATGATGAATTCCTGTCACCCCTTTCTAATGTGTAACACGATTAGTTATGACATAATGTTAGACTATTACTGCATTGCATACCATATGGGAAAACTAGTCTAACTTTATAGTCTTGTTCAACTCCCAAGCTCAAATTGTTTATTTTTAAACAACAATATAATTCATTTTTAAAAACATTTATGGGCTTTGCTTGAATGGCTGTTTTTTGGGAAATAATTCTGTATTTTAAGCGCAATACTACAAAATAAATTATTTTGAAGCTCCCTTTTCAATCTTTCTGTGAATACCTATTTTCTTACCCACTCTTTCTGTTTTATTAAGTAATGTAAATAAAATACTTCATCATAATGATATCTTTTCCAAGTGACTCCTCAACCCTCTCAGCTCCCATAAAGTAATCAATTCGCAACCCTGTCTGTCATGCATTGAACATACCACGAATTTATACTGCACATTTCATTACTTCTGCTTAGTATGTATTATGAAATGCAAACAATCCTTAAAAAGTTGCAAAACTGATGTCTTTCACTAATTCAATATTATCTCATAGATTCTATTGTCTATAACACTACTTACAAAACCAACTAATTATGTGCAGAGTATCTGCGCATTACAATTCCTATACTTGTCTACTTTAAGTAAATTTTTACCAGATGAGCTTTTTTTTCTTCTTTCTCTATAAAAATGTATCGATTCATTTTTCTTTAATTTTGAACTGCATCTGCCCAACCTCCCATCTATCTCTCTCCTGCTATCCAATTCATGTCCTTCTGCATTCTCTCACAGTCCTCATCATTGGAATAATTTGCTTTTGTTTTTGATTTAGCCCTACACTCAGTTGTTTCTAAAATAGAGTCAGTACTCTGACCTCAATCAGCCTTTTGCCCATCAAACTCAATTTACTGAATAACGTCTGCATAAAGAAATAATTCCTCATATTCCACCTACTTTTGCAACTCACAGTCTTAAACCTGTTTGCTGTTTGAGTCACTGTGATAGGGAAGCCATCTACACCCTAGAAGCCAGGCAAAGGGTAGTAATAAGGCAGACCAAAGTTACTTTCCTGGACAGTTACCTCCAAAGGTGGAATCTAATGTTTATGGTGGTGTGTCTGAGACTGCTTGGAGAGCCTGTGGCAAACATGCTGTAGTCATTCTGTGTTCCCAAATGTTACTATTGCCATTCAGCACCTACTTGGTCAGTAATAAATCCTGGTCATGGTCCTGGTCGTGCCTCTGGCAGCTGCAGGTTGATCAGAGTTCGGCAGTTTGCTAGAACTGGCAGTGCCACCAGAAGTAGAGGCAGCTGCTGGTACTGCAGTTGGCTGAAGTACCAGGTCACTGTTGCAGAAAAGGCAGGTGAGATAGGCTTGCTGGCACTAGTCAGAGATTGCCAAGGTGGTGAAATAGTCAGTTTAAAGGGCATGCATAAGTTGTTATGCTGGGACAGCCCTGTGTCAGTCTTCGCTGCCTGCAGGTCTTTGGTGGGCCTCCCAGCACCTTCTCTTTGGTGACGGCCAGTACATTCACTTCTGCTCCCCAACTCTCTTCAAGTTCTGGTACGCTGCTGGTGTCTTCCAGTGTGAAAATTGATGCAAAGTACCTATTCAGTTCGCTCACCATTTCTTTGCCCCCCAGCTTCATGTTCAAGATGGCGGCAGACTAGCAGCACAGCATGCGATTTCCTGCCCAGAGCTCATGAGAACGTTCTGAGGAAGGGTCACCGGATCCGAAACGTTAACTCTGACTTTTTCTTCACAGATGCTGCCAGACTTGCTGAGCTTTTCCAGCAACTTCTGTTTTTGTTCAAGCGTGGAGGAGATGGAACCCTTGTGGGGAGTGCGAGCCCAGCATGGCTAAACACTTAAGAAGGAGCTGTGATGTTGAACTTTTAAGTTTATTTATTTATTTTCCTATTTTATTCTAATAAAGATTTTAATTTTGAATTTTTAAGTTTATTTCCTCATTTTTCTACTTTGTACCTAAGATTTTGTACCTAGGCACCTTTGTATCTAAGATGGTGCCAGGAATGGTGACATTGTACACTTTTCATTCTATTCCTGTATCCCTATACTTGAGTACCCATGACAATAAAATCTGGTTCAGATTCAAATTCATTTTTCAGTGGATCAATGCCCACTCTTGCCTCTCTCTTACATTTCGGTATCTAAAACATCTCTTACAGTCCTTTATATTGTTAGCTAGTTTACTCGCATATTTGACCATTTCCCACCTTATTACTTTTTCAGATGTCTTTTGCTCGCATTTAAAAGCTTCTGAATACTCTGGCTTCCCAATCATCTTCATCACATTGTATTCTTTCTCTTTTGTGTTTATGCTATCTGTGACTTCCCTTGTCAGTCATGGTTGCCTTGTCTGCCCCTTAGTGTGTTTCTTCTTCCTTGGGATAAATTTCTGCTGTGCCTCCTGAATTACCTCCAGAAACTTCTGCCATTGCTGCTCCACTGTCTTCCTTGCTAGGCTCCTGTTCCAATCAACTCTGGCCAAGTCCCGCCTCATGTCTTTGTAGTTACCTTTACTCAATCGTCAGATCATTACGTCTGATTCCAGCTTCTCCCTCTCAAATTCCATGGTGAATTCTATCATATTATGGCCACTGGCCCCTTTTGCTTGCTAATCAAGTCTGCCTCATTAAACATCACTGAATCCATAATTGACTGTTCCCTAGTGAGCTATACCACAAGCTGCTCCAAAATACCATCATGTAGACATTCCATGAATTCTTTTTCTTGAAATCCACTACAACTTGATTTACACAGTCCACTTGCAAAATGAAATTCCCCAACAATATTATAACAATGTTTCTCTTACATGTCTTTCCTATCTCCTGATTTATTTTCTTTCCCACATCCTGACTACTGCTAGGAGGCCTGTACATGCCTTCTGACACTATAGCACTCCTTGCTATTGTTTTAATTTCATTTCTTACTAATAAGGCAACCCTGTCCTCTCTACCCATCTGCCTGTTCTTTCCACAGGATGCATATTCTTGGATATTTAGTTCCCAGCCCAGATCCCCTGCACCTACATCTCTATGAAACACACAACATCAATTTTAATCTGTGCTACAAGCTCAGTTACCTTGTTTTGTATACTGTGTGCATTTAAGTACAACACCTTCAGTCCTGCTTTGACTGTCTCTCTTCTCATAATTGCCCCCTTATCTGCTATGCCTGAAGTTCAATTCCTAAGCCTTTCCACTCTCTCTTCCCTATTACTTGTTCTGAAACTTTAATAACCCTTGTTGAGCCCTCTCCAACCCCCATCCACCCACCCACCCTTTAACTTTTTTCATAGTTTTCCAAGCAACTGAACCACACTGCTAATGTTTTAGTTTAAAGCCCTATCCAGAGCTCTAGTTATGCAATTTGCCATTACTCTGGCCTCAGCATTATTCAGGCAGAGCCCATCCCATCAGAACAGCTCAGACTAGAAAAAAAAATGATGTGCTTAAAATGTGAGATTGCATGATATCTTATCTTACAGAACACTATATAAGCGACTTACGGAAGTTATTACAGAACCAAAAATTGATTTGTTTGCTTAGGCCATAAGAAACGTCCTTAACTGTTGAAGATATTAATGCAGGAGATGTATTACCTATAAAACATAACCTGTACAGACTCAACCTAAAAGATTATTTTAGAGATGGAAAAGATTAAGGTCATGATGGACATAGCATTATCAAACTGAGTCATAGAATATGAAGCTCACAGATCATGATGGTGCCAGAAACAGATGAGTCACAGTGATTCTCTACTGATTATTACAAAGACAACATGGGAATGAAAATTGATTCATGTCCAATTACAAGACTGGAGGACTGTATTGAATGATTTGGACATACAATTTGTCACAAAAAGATAACTTTTTAAAAGGAAACTAACAAGTTCTGTTGGCAGATAGAGATAGGTAGACACTGGAGGAAAAATATACCTTGGAAATCATTTGTTTTCAGTTCAGAGATATCCGAGTTGGAGTTAGATGTAAAAGTACAGTTCCTCCTGGAGAAAGGACAGTTAGGATGTAGGCTGCCTCAGGGTAAAGATTTTACTTTGAAAGTTCCAGACCAGAAGTGCTTGGTTAGAACCCTTAAATGTTATTCAAAACTGAGAAAATCTAAGCTTGCTGTGTCAATAGTAAAGAAAGAGATTGTCACTTCAAACTGTCAAGACCAGGAATTGAAAGAAATGTTAAATAAATCTATAGCTATGTTACAGAAGAGATTTGTTGCTGGTATTTTAGTACTGAAAAGTGGTGGTGTTGGTATAGATGAGATTGTATTTTTACTTTGTTTCATTGTGATAGGTATAATGATTTATTATGTTTTACCTTTTCTTTTGTGTAATAAGTTTCTGTTTTGATGTTAAAACTAGTTAGTAGAAGAAAGAAACAAAATATGATCCGTGAAGTGTGATTTAAGCCTGACTTCTCCATTAATGACATTACTTGGGATAACAATAGTAAAGCAACTAATTAGCAATTTGATGAGATTGTTAACAACAGAATCTATTTTGAATGCCATTTTACACTTTAAAAATGTGCAATATTAAAAAAAAACATGAATTTGTTCTATGGCATGTAACTGTGTTTAAAAATTTTCATCATTCCCATGATTAAAAACATGATGTGATTGATATTTTCTGAAGGCTGGCAATAAATTATAGTCTTTGGAAAACTAAAAAAAGACTAATGAGTTCTGTTCTCTTAAGTATGCCTTTACACAGTAATGTGACAGGTCAAATTAATACCAAAAGACATGACAATTAATCATAGTTTAAGAGCATAACTGAGCTTCCAAAATGACTAGTAATGACCAGTAAATAAAAAATTCAACTTATTCATAAGAAATGGGAAAACCTTTGCTAAATCACTGTGATTATATCTAATATAATATGTCAAGCCTTTTACAATTGTCAATGTGCAATATTTACCTATCAGTGATCTTCTCCGACTATGTGTTGATCCACAACCTCCTACACAGGGAGTGAACTTGGTCCAGTTTGTCAACGTGCAATCATCACGGCAGGGAATACGACATTTCTGCACAAGTACAGGTATGGGTCCTGCCCACTTCAAGCACCCAATAGAGTCCACATTCTGATCATTACCTGTTCTACAGGTCACACCTGAAAAAGGACAGTAAAAGTACTTTCAATACAATTCTTTTATAATCACGCTCCTACTTTAACATCATTTAACACATGGGCAGTTAAGTACTAGAATAATATTGGAAATCATGGTATTTGTAACTTGGAGTGACTTAGGATCAACATACTAATTTCAGCTTCTCTTCTGTTAATCTGATTAGTTTGTTACATGTACTGTATATATACATAAATGTATATGTTCAGCTATGGTCTTATTCAATGGGAGAACTGACCTGATAGTCTGTATGGTTTACCCTTGATCCTTTTCTAATTCTCTTTTACCCCAACAAACTAATGTAGTGATCTCATGATCAGAGAACTGAATGTAATAAACTGGTTTCCGATAAGTTATTTTCAATACGATATTACGAGGTACTAGGTGGTATTAAAGCAGATAAAATGTTGACAAGTTTTAGTCCTCTCAGAAGGTGATCTGGTGTGTTGTTAGATTCCATTTTCAGGTAACTTGTGGTCTGTTCTGGATTGAGACTGTTTCTCTCTATCTATGAGTAACTGAAGTCTAACTTTGTACTCAAAACACCTTTTCTCACATTGTACTACATGCTACACTTCTAGTCTCTTGAGCAGAATACCCTCCCTCTCTTCTCAGACTCTTATACTTGAACTGCTGATGTAATATTACATCATGATACATAACACCATCTCATTACCTTAACCATTAACCTATTACACTGCAGTCCAACTTGTGAAACAGAAAACCAAAGGTGATAATGAAAACTAATTCATTACAATCCTTGTCAGTTTTAGATGGATTTTTGAGAATCAATATGACCAAAGGATTTGCAACATGTGCACAAGAAATACAGAATGTTGGCGAGGCCTCTTCTCAAGTACAGACTTCCAGTTCCAGTCGTCCTGAAGAAAGAGTAAGACTCCAAAAGTTGGTGTTTTCAAATAAACCTGTTAGACTATAACCTGGTGTTGTGTGATTTCTGACCTTGTCCACCCCAGTCCAACACCGGCATCTCTACTGTGATGCAGTACAATTCTGCTGCTATTGATAGTCCACAGCACCTCATGGATGCCCAGTCTTGAGTTGCTAGATCTGTTTGAAGTCTGTCCCATGTAGCATGGTGATATTGCCACACAACACGATGAAGGTTATTCTCAATGTAAGGATGGGTCTTTGTCTCCACAAGGACTGTGCAGTGGTCAGTCCTACTGATATTGTCATGGACAGATGCAATTGCGGCTGACAGATTGGTCAGGATGAGGTCAAGTAGTTGTTGCACTTTGTTGGTTCTTGTAATACCTGCCGCAGATCCAGACTAGCCGCTATGTCCCTTGGGACCCAGCCAGCTCAATCAGTAGTACTGCTGCCAAATCACTCTTGGTGGTGAACATTGAAGCTCACTTCCCGGAGTACATTTTGTGCTCTTGCCACCCTCAGTGTTTCCTCAATTACTGTTCAACATGCAGGAGGACTGATTCATCAGACGAGGGAGGACAGTACATTGTAACTCGTAGGTTACCTTGACAATGTGTATCTTGAAGCCACAAGGCTTCAGGGGTTTGGGGACAATGTTGAGGGTACCCAGGGCAACTTCCTCCTGACTGTATACCACTGTGCTACCACCTCTGCTGGGTCTGTACTGCTGGTGGGACAGGACATATCCAGGAATAGAGATGGTGGTGTCTGGGACACTGATTCCATAAGGCAGGACTCCCAATTCTGGCACTAGCACACCATGTTAATGAGGAGGATTTTGCAAGATAACAGGATGGTTTCTGCCATTATTTTTCTGCTGCTTAGGTTGATGCCAAGTGGTCAGTGTTTCTTTGCTGAAAAGTGACTAACCAGACCATTTCAGAGGGCAGTCACATCACTGTGGCCCCGGAGTCATATGTAGGCCAGAACAGGTGAGGATGACAGATTTTATTTACCTGAGACATTAGTGAGCCAGATGGGTTTTTCCAACAACTAGCAATGGTTTCACCATCATCAGTAGAATCTTAACTCCAGATAGCTTTTATTGAATTCAAATTCCACCATCTGGCATGGTGGGATTCGAACCCAGGTCCCTGGGACATTACCTGAGTTTCTGGGTTAATAGTGCAGTGATAATACCAATAGGCCATCCCCTCCCGTTGCATAGAATGAAAAGAGCATAGCCAATGCAAGGAGAAATATGAATGCTAAACATAAATATTTATCAGAACAACCAATCATAAAAAGTTCAAATTGAAAAATCTAGATTGTCTTTCATCCCAGTGTATCAATCACACTTGAAAAAGTCATATCCGCACTGTTTGTGTATTACTCACATCTATTGGCTGAAACACAATATTCATTGGACTTAAACAAATTGTAATTGGATAAAACACATAGCAATCACCAAATGTTTAAAGAATATTAAAAATTGGCTAGGAATGTATGTAATTCTTTTAAAAAATCATATGTTCAGATCTTGGTAACCAAAGGAGATGACAATTTGCAAGTTTTTCCCAATCCACACACAAACTTTCCTTTGACCAACTTCAAGATATGGTCATTAAACTTTGCGATCTTCCAAAAATGTGCCAAGAAAGCCTTAGCAGCAAAGTAATAGCAAATTCATTGGCAACTCAGCATTAAAGATCAGCTACTTTAGAACTGGGAGCAATGTAAGAGATATCCTGATATTACAAAATAATGGTCCCACAACATAGCAGATATTAACTGTGACATGAAATACATCCATGCAAGCAGTTGGAGAAATTTCATATAAATGGAAGATTAAAATGTTCCACTTTGGTTATTCACAGATTAATACAAAATCAAATGGAGGGCAAGAGCAAGAGTTTGAATATTTTGTTATGAAAAGTGCCTGCCTAGTTTGCCTTGGAGGCTCTCACTGCATTAAGTGAAAGAAGCTACTCGTGATAAAATGGCATCCAATTGCAAGGCAAGTAATTTACTATTTAACTAAAGGCTACAAATGGTTCTGAAAATATGATAAAATATTACACTTGCATTAAGCACTGCCAGAAGGGCAGAATTTCCATGATCGATTACTTAGGAAATGTTAGTTATAATTGCAGTGTGCAAAAAAAATTGCAAAATTTGTATTGTTTTGAGTTATCTTGAAATACAGTAACTAAATGTTATATGTTCTAATTGCTTCATAACATCAGTTACTAACCTCAGGAACATACTGTTGTATATTACAACACATACTATCCTGTTTCTGCATCCACATTTTCAACACCATGAGTATATACAAATAGAATTTTCATTATAAGTCACCAAAAACTTTATTGTGGAATTAATACTTCACAACTTGTAAGATACTGATAGCAGAATATGAATAAAATACAAGCTTTTTTTCATTATCATGTAATATAAAGGTATATTATCCTGACTCAAAAATTTTAATAGTAAAGTGCCAAATGACATTGCTGTTCAATCTGACCTCAGATGTTTTTGACCATGCGCATGCCAGATTAAATAGAACTACATACATCTCAATTTAATGATAATAGCCTCAATTATAATGTTTATATGCTTGTTTTGTTTTGAGTCTATCTTTTTAATTTATTGTGAAATGGAGAAACAAAGGGATTTTTGTGACATGATGTGAATTTGGCCTGACAATAAGCTTTGGTGGCTTGGTTGTTATAACAGTGGACAAGTTGCCCTGCTGGGAAAAAGGTGCAAAATATTTATAACTAAGCAATTACCAGATCAACTGTGCTCACGATCAATGGACTGCTTGTTTCTACTTCCACATGGAGTGCTTAGAATATCAGGCTTAAAGATGGTTATACTATTTAATTTTAAGATATACAGGAGTTCCGAGTTTAGAGAATAGTTAATTAGTTTTTCTAACAGGGTATAATGTCTATGTGATAAACGTTGCCATGGGAATATACTTTTCACATGCTAGAATTGGGCCATACGAGCTGAAAGTGGCTGATCTTGTCTGATCTTAGCAGCTGAATAACTGAAGCCTGTTTAGTACTCGGATGGGAATATGAAATGCAGTCAGCTTTTCCAAAGGTGTTTTTGATAAAATGATAGCACCTCTACCTTTCAGCCAGAAACCTGGGCTTCAAGTCCAACCTGTTCCAGAGGTATGTCTTAGCACATCTGAATAGTTTGATTAAAAATATCCGTAATTGGGTTGCAGATTTCCGCAAGATTTTATTGAACCTTACAAAGACGGTTAGGCTGCAAGATGAAGGCAGAGCAGTGGATGTGATGTATATGGATTTTAGCAAGACATTTATAAGGTTCCATATGGTAGGTTCATTCAGAAAGTAAGGAGGCATGGGATTCAGGGGAATTTGGCTGTCTGGATACAGAATTGTCTGTCCAATAGAAGACAGAGTGTGGTAGTGGATGGAAAGTACTGAGCCTGGAGCTCGGTGACCAGTGGTGTTCCACAGGAATCTGTTCTGGGACCTTTACTGTTTGTGATCTTTATAAATAACTTGGATGAGGAAGTGGAAGGGTGGGTTAGTAAGTTTGCTGATGACACGAAGGTTAGTGGAGTTGTGGAGGGCTGTTGTAGGTTGCAATGGGACATTGACAGGATGCAGAGCTGGGAAAAGAAGTGGCAGATGCAATTCAACCCGGAAAAGTGTGAAGTGATTCATTTTGGAAGGTCGAATTTGAATGCGGAATACAGGGATAATAGCAGGATTCTCAGCAGTGTGGAGGAACAGGGGGATCTTGGGGTCCACGTCCATAGATCCATCAAAGTTGCTAACTAAGTTGATAGTGTTGTAAAGAAGGTATATAATGTGTTAGCTTTCATTGGCAGGGGAATTGAGTTTAAGAGCCACGAGGTTATGCTGCAGTTCTATAAAACTCTGGTTAGACCACACTTGGAATATTGTGTTCAGTTCTGGTCGCCTCATTATAGGAAAGATGTGGATGCTTTAGAGAGGGAGCGGAGGAGATTTACCAGGATGCTGCCTGGACTGGAGGGCAGGTCTTATGAGGAAAGGTTGAGGGAATTAGGGCTTTTTTCATT